ATATATATATATATATATATATATATATATATATATATATATATATATATATATATATATATATATATATATATATAAAATAAATGAATAAAATAAAAAAGAAATTAAAAATAAAAAAATTAAATAATACTTATACTAATGAAATAAATGCACGGATAAACAAAGTAAAAAAAAAACAAAGATTCCTTTGCAAATGGGGTAGTGCCAAAAATCTTGAATCGCTATTGTTACTCACTTCGTTCATACTCTGCGAGACGTCTAAAACCAGAGCAAGCCGTTCGCCGTCCAATTCTACTCCTGTCGAAGTGACTTTACGTCTAGGATAAAGGACCCGGAAAGATGGCTCAGTGTCGGTGATCTCACGTGGTTGGCCCTCCTTTCCTGCGCACAGAATCGATAAGTAAGTTTACAAAATATTTTTGTCCTTCTCAAGATTTGCGATAAAATGTAAAGTAATGAAAACTATACATTCTACTTTTAAAGAAGATGTAAGCTGTATATTTACATTCACCCCCCCCCCACTCTCTCTCTCTCTCTCTCTCTCGTGACATATTTGATAATACCGATTTCTTCCATTGCACCAGATGACCTAGTCCAAGCCACCGAATGCAGCAGGTGTGCCACGAAGCAATCTCACCTGTAAAATCCTCGTGTTCTTTTATAACGTCCCAGGTACCCGTGTTACACAGCTTATTCTGCTTGTTGGGTGCAAACTGACTGTGCTGCATAGACGGCTCCGTGGCCTTCATCTCACAGAAAGAGTCAACCTGGAACGCAGTAGATCTAAGTGTCCTTATATGGATCATATTAGCAATTGGTGTAATTTTATTTTACATATAAACTTTAAAGTTTGGCAAGGGGCTTGATCTTTTAACCCATCATCCTCAGTTCAGCAATTNAATACCGATTTCTTCCATTGCACCAGATGACCTAGTCCAAGCCAGCGAATGCAGCAGGTGTGCCACGAACCAATCTCACCTGTAAAATCCTCGTGTTCTTTTATAACGTCCCAGGTACCCGTGTTACACAGCTTATTCTGCTTGTTGGGTGCAAACTGACTGTGCTGCATAGACGGCTCCGTGGCCTTCTTCTCACAGAAAGAGTCAACCTGGAACGCAGTAGATCTAAGTGTCCTTATATGGATCATATTAGCAATTGGTGTAATTTTATTTTACATATAAACTTTAAAGTTTGGCAAGGGGCTTGATCTTTTAACCCATCATCCTCAGTTCAGCAATTAGGGAAAAATCGGTTATTTTTTCTTTCTTTACTACGCAAATCTTTCAAATTTGTTTATTTATTTATCAAATCTGCAAAGTTCACTTAGAGTGAAGAAGAGAAAATGACATTAAATAAACTAACCGAGTCGATGAACTGGTAGAACATGACCGAAGCCTTGGCGGTGTTTCTGGTCAGGAAAGGATAAAAGCGGCAGTCCTTCTCTGGGAGCCCAGTAAGACGACTTAACATGCATCGTCTAGCCGTCTTCCCGTCGTAGACCTTGTAAGTGCCGCGAACCTGCAAAATTGAAGGAGCATAAACAATTAAAATAATTTTCCTTGTAAATGCTTAATTTTGTCATCATATGATAATAGTTGCTACGGCTTGTTTGTTTTTTCTTTAAAGTTGGATTCACTTTCGATTTTCACCACGTATTGATCAAAAGGTTTTTTTTTTAATATATCCTACATTCAATATTTCATAAAGTCGTTGAAAATTCCAGTCATGGACTTTTACTTCGAAAGTCGTTACTAGCACTCCACCCCGCCACTAACCAGTAGATATTATTAATACCATACCCCAACCCTTCCACCCTCCACCAAATTTGTGAAATTTGATGTTAATAAAATGATACCAGGAGCATATCATTCCACAGTCATTTATCTCCCCCAAAGTATTGGTTCAGTAGGGGTGACACTTTTATTGTCCAGTGTGTGTAGTACCCCTCCCCCCCTTATTAAAACTACTTGTATATACAACAAGTGTACTGTAGTTGTTATACCACTTCCTCCACTCAACCCCTCCCCTACCTACCCTCGACGAACACCCGGTGACAGTGGGCCTCCCGTTGGCCCCCACGTAGAACAGCGGGTAGTTTTCGTCCTCTACCAGACCGTACTCGTCAAATACGCCATAGCGAAGATGGGCAAACTCATGGACGATCACGCGCCCTGAAACAGAATATATATATGTACGAGAAGCTACTGTTTCATAATGGAAAGACACTTGAGATAAGGACCTGTTCTACAAAATGTATATTAAATATTTTAGTCTATTCAGTGTTAAGAAACGAAGTTAGAGGAGTTGTAGAGATTTGAGTCACAGTGAATATTTATAGGCCTAAACTACACAGACGAAAGTGTCACATTGCACTGTCGATATTTTCCTTTTAGTGTCCAGTGCCGACAACAATTTAAACTTAATTATGACATTATTGTCCTCTAGAAGCCTTTATTGCGAGGGTCTTCCGAGATAGGCGGAAAAGAGTTTTCGCTTTAATAATTAATGGTTTGTTCCTGGTAGAAGTGAACTTTCATTATTAGGGTTTACTTGCTCACTCTTAGAGGAAATTTTACCATAAAATCAACTGTTCTTTTTTTTTTAAATTTCAGACGCCTTTTAAATTATGTCGAAACCAATTTTTTCCTCAAAATTCCTCCCCTCCTATTAGGTTGCCGTGATAAACCCATACTGGTTTAGGGACGTTATCTCGTAATTGCCGTACACAAGATTAATATTACATCAATGCATACTGTGGTTTTTGTCTACATTGTAGATACATGACATAAAAGTCCACAGTAGAGGAATGCGTTCTGTCTTATACTGCAAAAATAGTACAGTTCTCAGTGCTGTCTCAGTTAAGAGATATGACCGTGTTGACGATAATTGGCATTTATCTGTGGCATCTTTTAAGTAGATATTTGCACATAAATGCTATGAGCCGGGCAGGTAGATTTAGGGCCCTTTTAAATTTGTCATTGTACGACGGGCTGGGTCTCTTAGTTGGCCTACATGCCTCAAAGTACACTTAAACCCCAGTATACACTATCGGCAAGTTTCTTCCTAATACTTACAACGTACATGTATAGTTAGGAGTGTGCAATAAATAGTTTCCACTCAAACCTATTCAATTTATTGTAAATGTATGTTGAATGAACTTGATTGAAATATTGCTGTTCCCACCCATTTTAAAAACGTTTTCATTAAAAAGTGTTTAATGAGTTTTTGGCTTCTTATCAGTCGTTTGTATGACGCATATTGGAGTCCAGCTTTTTTATTCGGTCATTTAATAAGCCAACGCGTAAGTGACTGACGGGTAAATGAATGTTTTAGGAACAAACGAAAGCAACAGGTTTTTCAATACCAGTTTCATCAACACTGGATAGTGCTATATCCTACATTTAACACTATCCATTGGATAAAATTGGTTAAAACCTCTTTATAGTTATCCTGGGGATAGCAGCATTGGGTAGCAACATCAGAGACAAATATTAAAATCTTGCGTTAAGAAATTATTATTTTACCCACAGGATAACTGTCCTGTGGATAGCAATGGGCCCTGTGTGCTAATATACAGCATAATAATAATAAAGTTATTTAGCACAAGCTGGAATTTTTCTCACCGTCAGCTCACCGGTCAGAGGTCTCCGACAGACTGACTCACACATTTTAGATATTTATTAATATTTTAATATTAATATATACAATATCTTAAAAGATTAGACGACATATTCCACAAAAATAAATAAATAAATAAATAAAATGTACGCACCCGGATCTCCCCAGTTGTACTCTCTGTTGGTGCCGTTGTCCAGAACGTATTCCGGCGTCACATGAACGTACTCGGCCGGCTCCCCGCACTCTCCGGGCTGCTTGGTGTACGGCACGTGACCATACACCGGATTGCTGTGGTCCACACGGAAGTCCGCCTTGGAAAAGGTCTCCAGTGTTGCCTTCTCGTACTCGGGGCGGTCCCTCCAGGTCTCTGGGATAAGGATGCTCACGTTACGGAAGTAGGCACGCTGGCGTGTGGCGGTGTGGAGGTATGGAGAGGCAGACGTGAAGAGTTTCTGGTGGAGGAATTAAAAGATTATAGTAATTATAGGAACGACAAAAATGAGAGAGAGATAGAGAGAGAGAGGGGGGGAGGAGAGAGAGAGAAGGGGAATAGACAAAGGGAACGGACAAATTCCTGTTTTTTCTTCGATAGAAGGATCATTGTGACGTTTTATTGAGTTAATTTTCGATATCATTTCAGTTTTCTTAACGATATTTATTTACAAATGGCAATTTTTTTTCAAGCGGAATACCGACACATTTTAACGTTAGTTCTGAGAAATTATTTGATTTCGCCTTTTTCTATGACATGATTTACGTTACCAGAATAAAGAAAATTTACCTTACTACTTAAAGGACTACATTTACTTTCTTCTTTCTTAACTTTGCATTTCGCTCTCACTATATACAGTAAATATTATAGAAGACAATTATTGTCGCAGTAATGAAAAATTACCTTAATTTCGTCAATCATGGCCAAGTTTTCCTTGACGCTGTGATGTATGGCCACTAGTACGCCCTCGTAGCCGTTATTCTTGAAGGACATGAGTGAGTTCTGACCCGCATTGCTCCCTACTGCCAGTGCCACCAAGACCAGGAGACCCGTCAGGGAAGTCATCTCCATGGAAATGATCCTTGGAAATGTAATTTAATGTTCACGCAAAATAATTCAATCGTATAACCAAATTTCCATAAAACATGCGACTTCATTCCCTCGAGTATTTTGTTTAGTTTGCAGTGTAACAAAATTTTTGGGAAAAAAAAAATAAAACGCAAAATTGGTTCCCCAAATTCTTCATACTCTGTTGAATAAAAGTAACCTGCTTACTGATGCTTCCTTAGGTTAGCATCAAGATTGGCCGATGTTCAGATCTCAAACATCTCATGCTATATAATAGTTCCTATTTGCATTTCAGGCATCGTCGTATTAAAAATACTAACGTAACAGCTATAATAAAGTTATGACAATATCCAACCTAATTAATTTAAGGTTAACTTGGGACATGACTATTTGAAAAAAAAACTACTTACTTTTTAAGTGTTTTTAAGCGGACTATCAAAAGCCTACAACGCTGCGTCAGTGCTCGCCGTCAATTACGCAAGACGGTATGAGGCCTAATAATTCTCTGCCCTCAAGATTTACTCAGCGCTCTTTCTCGCTATCAAGAACTCATTCTACAGCAACCCGCGTACCCTTTGTGTACCAATCACGATCACTTTGTTCCCAGGTCGATTTTTCTATTCACAGTCTTTGTCCTAGGACTAAATACTATCGCAGACTCTTCGAAAGCGTGGGTCGGCCATTGGAAGGGGAATAAACACTTAGTTGAAGTAAGTTCAGTTGTTTATTTGAGTCAGGGAGGAAACGGGACTATTTGTCCACACGGAGTGATAAAATGATTTGTCCGTCAACAAAACGTTCAGAAATCATGGGGCGTTTTTCAGTTGCTTGGCTATCAGTTTTGCATTTAGGGTATGATTTAGGTAAATTTCTTTACGATGAAATTTGGGTCACCTTCCACTCTTATAACCGAAAAAATAAGAACCTGATTTTTTCCTGTATTAAATTACTTCTATATTTCTTTCCATCTTGATTATATTTTCATTATCTTAGTATGGGGGTGGGTAGGGGTTGACAACAGCAGCGTGTTTGCGTCCAAATTGAAATTTGATACATATATATACCATGTTAAACACCTCTCTACATTGATTGAATTTTAATTCAATTGATTTAATTAATTAAAATTTTAATTTTAATATTAAAATAATTACACAATGCTTTCTGCCATCAAATTGTTTGTGTAATTTTTAATTCAACAATCCATGTATATCTACCAGACTAATGAACTTTTTTAAGAGCCTCTCTACATTGGCTTGCAAGTTTAGACACTAACCCACCATTTCATTGCTTTTTATCCGGTTTGTATATTTTTAATATCTCATTTTTTATTGTAAGGGTCAACAAGAACCCTGAATGTAAGAGCAGACGACGCCATGCAAGCCGGTTCTCACTCCTTCAGCACCATAGCTCACACACTTTAAAAATCTTAAATTTCCTTATAAATATTTTTCACTAAACTTTATTAATTGTATATAAAGTGTGTATTAAAATGATAAAAAATACTGTAGATGCTAGCAAAAAGACAACGGAAATCATTAACAAAAAGAAAAGAAAGGACAGGGGCAAATGAATCAACCAAAAATGTCCTCGGTTACTTTTCAATATTTTATTTTTTTTCAATAATTTCAAAGATTTTTCATAAATTACTGCCCTCTGATAGGGCGACATATGTATTTACACAATTTAAACATTTGTCTATGAAAACAATAAAATCTTCTTTTTATGTACACAATGTGTTTATGTGGCTATACTAGTATGATGAAACATTCAAATTCACCATTTAAAAAGCCTAAAGCACAGTCCAGTGCTCAGGAATTAACCTACAGTATTATCTTAACAAGTTTTTATCAAAGATTACGTTTGAACTCCCTAAAATTGAAAATCTTGTGGTGAACAGCTAAGAAACAATATTCGAAGCGTGTTAATAATCAACTTATTAAAACTCTTTGCACTTCAACATTTCGCACAAATATTTTGAAGTATCCCTATATTCGCTATAGCCTAACCCCAAAATAAGAAAAAAAAAACTCTTTTATGATTTCTTATAAAAATACAGAAATATCTACCACGAATCAATATCCACGCCGTTCTTCAAATGAACCGAGGGAAAAAGCTATCTTTATCAAAAACAATAATAATTTCCTCATTTAGGTATTGAATTACGCAACTGGTCATTTAATTGAAACATCTGAATACCAATGCAAAATCATCATCAAATCAAATACGTGCATTTGCCGAATCTAAACATATAATAACCTCTCTGAAACCACGAAATGGACCTGGTTGCTTTTAAGTTCTGTCACACAGAAAAAAAGGCCCAAAATGAACACCTCCAGTTTTGCTGCCTTTTTAAAAAAATAAAATCAGAGATAAAAAAGCAGGAGACGGCACAATGCAGCTACACATTAGAAGAGTACAAAAATGAGCCCCATTACTATACCCCGAGTCTCCAAGAACACTGGGACCTCATCACTATTATAATGTGAATACCCACTGAGTTATGACATCCAGGGTACATCCACACATACTGGGTCAATCACCCCCCTATAGATATTAACCTTTTTTGTGAGACCCCCCCCCCNCAGTTGCTTGGCTATCAGTTTTGCATTTAGGGTATGATTTAGGTAAATTTCTTTACGATGAAATTTGGGTCACCTTCCACTCTTATAACCGAAAAAATAAGAACCTGATTTTTTTCCTGTATTAAATTACTTTTATATTTCTTTCCATCTTGATTATATTTTCATTATCTTAGTATGGGGGTGGGTAGGGGTTGACAACAGCAGCGTGTTTGCGTCCAAATTGAAATTTGATACATATATATCTAACGAATTTCTACCATGTTAAACACCTCTCTACATTGATTGAATTTTAATTCAATTGATTAAGTTAATTAAAATTTTAATTTTAATCTTAATATTAAAATAATTACACAATGCTTTTTGCCATCAAATTGTCTGTGTAATTTTTAATTCAACAATCCATGTATATCTACCAGACTAATGAACATTTTTAAGTTTCTCTACATTGGCTTGCGAGTTTAGACACTAACCCACGATTTCATTGCTTTTTATCTGGTTTGTATATTTTTAATATCTCATTTCTTATTGTAAGGGTCAACAAGAACCCTGAATGTAAGAGCAGACGACGCCATGCAAGCCGGTTCTCACTCCTTCAGCACCATAGCTCACACACTTTAAAAACCTTAAATTTCCTTATAAATATTTTTCACTAAACTTTATTAATTGTATATAAAGTGTGTATTAAAATGATAAAAAAATACTGTAGATGCTAGCAAAAAGACAACAGAAATCAGTAACAAAAAGAAAAGAAAGGACAGGGGCAAATGAATCAACCAAAAATGTCCTCAGTTACTTTTCAATATTTTATTTTTTTCAATAATTTCAAAGATTTTTCATAAATTACTGCCCTCTGATAGGGCGACATATGTATTTACACAATTTAAACATTTGTCTATCAAAACAATAAAATCTTCTTTTTATGTACACAAATGTGGCTATACTAGTATGATGAAACATTCAAATTCACCATTTAAAAAGCCTAAAGCACAGTCCAGTGCTCAGGAATTAACCTACAGTATTATCTTAACAAGTTTTTATCAAAGATTACGTTTGAACTCTAGAAGTTTGTTTGAACTCCCTAAAATTGAAAATCTTGTGGTGAACAGCTAAGAAACAATATTCGAAGCGTGTTAATAATCAACTTATTAAAACTCTTTGCACTTCAACATTTCGCACAAATATTTTGAAAGTATCCCTATATTCGCTATAGCCTAACCCCAAAATAAGAAAAAAAACCCTCTTTTATGATTTCTTATAAAAATACAGAAATATCTACCACGAATCAATATCCACGCCGTTCTTCAAATGAACCAGGGGAAAAAGCTATCTTTATCAAAAACAATAATAATTTCCTCATTTAGGTATTGAATTACGCAACTGGTCATTTAATTGAAACATCTGAATACCAATGCAAAATCATCAAATCAAATACGTGCATTTGCCGAATCTAAACATATAATAAACTCTCTGAAACCACGAAATGGACCTGGTTGCTTTTAAGTTCTGTCACACAGAAAAAAAGGCCCAAAATGAACACCTCCAGTTTTGCTGCCTTTTTAAAAAAATAAAATCAGAGATAAAAAAGCAGGAGACGGCACAATGCAGCTACACATTAGAAGAGTACAAAAATGAGCCCCATTACTATACCCCGAGTCTCCAAGAACACTGGGACCTCATCACTATTATAATGTGAATACCCACTGAGTTATGACATCCAGGGTACATCCACACATACTGGGTCAATCACCCCCCTATAGATATTAACCTTTTTTGTGAGACCCCCCCCCATGACAAACCATAAGATGGCATTACTCGCCTCATTTATAGCTATTATCCCTTTTTGATATGAAACATTTATGTAACAAATCTTAACATCTATTACTCGTACTTTTCAAAATGACTTAAGATTATGTGCCTTTATTGCGTTTTTTTAATACCCAGGTCTCATCTATAATGAGGCACTCATACAGGGACTCAAGACTTAACACCTTTAAAAGTAATCAATATACAAGGGTAGCAATAGGCTGCAAAGCCACATGTATGACTCTTATTAATGCCAATTAATCAGCCAGGTGAACAAAGTCCACCTGAGATTTCCATGGAGTGCTGCAGCAAAAAAGTAGATTAATTTGATCATCTCGTGATGCCATCCAGAACTTCACCAGTTCAGGTTTAAGTGTGTGTCTCATTGTTAATTGAAATACACAGGAAACCATGCAGCTTATATAAAAAGATTCTTGATGCCCTGTGTCCTTAAAAACATGTATGGATAGATGCTATCCAGCTATCTGTACATATACAGTATCATTACACGTCTTAGCTTTTAGTTTAAAGATTGTGTAATTTGCTCCTAAAATGTAATGATGCTACTACCAACTTGTTAAAAAAAAAAAGAAAAAAAAAACAGATATATGTTTACTGAGTCATGCACTCATCATCAGCAAGATGATATTTTAGTTTGATATTAGATGACAGTTTCAATAAAAATTACTTTAAATTAATAGGTGAACAGTTGCATTGCACATTATCCTGTTGAAAAATCCACTTTTACACATTTTTATCTATCAAGTGACCCTCACAGATCCTAACTGACTGAACATGTCATATATGCAGTCACCAATCCTTTGTAAAAACTCCTCACAAAATATCTAACTTTCTCATTCACAGTATTATCAGCACTGACCTAAATCTTGCAAGAGAAGACATAAAAAATAGAAAAAAATGGATGCTAACACAGTATCACTGCATTGGAGATCCTGACATGCCCCACATGTATTTGTATTTGTTGAAATCTTATCAATACTAAAAAGCTGTTAGCTTTTTTGTACATCCCCACAGATATGCATATGTGCATTTATAAAACAACAAAGTCATTTTTTGATAACTCTAGTTCTGACTCCATTCTTGTATAAAATTCTGTGGAAATCAAGGCCACTATATTATACCAAACACCACCAAACTTTGATACTACCATGATAATTTAAAAAGTTGACCTGAAGTATCTTAAAGCTGAGGAATGTTAAGTTAACTTCCCTGCTTAATTCCATTCTTATTAAAGGGAACAAAATGTTTGTCCCCCTTAACATCAGAAGGTTGGTGCATTCAGAATAAACAGTCTGTCCTCCTCTCTCTTGATCCACTTGAGGAGTTTGTTGATGGACGTGATGGCTTGAGTTTTGGTCACCAGAGGGCCAAACACCGTGTAGAGCTCAAAACCCGACGTCATCTGGAGAACAAATGTGAAATATGTTTACTTCTAAATCACTATGATCCAAGATGTAAAGGATTTACTGAAAGCCTGGCAGGGTCGCAGGGGTAAAATAAAATACTGACTCCCATGGCAAATTTTCACACAGAAAAAAAAAATAGAGGCTGGGTAGAGGTTTGGTCCTTTACAACCAATACATTGCTTTTTTTTGTAATATTCAGTTAAGATGGGTTTTAGGACTCTTAAAAACTTATGACAAGCGCATTTTTGTGTAACTTTCTTAAAACCTAATGTATATTCCATCTCTATTCTAACATGTGAAAGTACTGCTGAGCATCAGAAAAATCTTTCCAAAATAATAAATTCTGGCACTTGTCTCATTTCTTTTGGAGTTCATACTGACCAAAGAAATAAGTATGTTTGGCGTGACTTCAAATTTTGCCACGTCAAAATTAACAAGTGTTCTTCATATTTTCCCTGTGTTTGTCTAAAAATGTGACTTACCCATCCTAACAATGTCTCATTAGCTCCCACATGGAATAATATTTTCAATGGTCTAGCAGAACTATGGATTCTATGGTGAAGGTACAGGTACAGACCAAACAATCTGGAATAAAATAATAAAATCAACAAATTTAAGTTGGCATTCCAGATACAATACTTTAAAAGAATATTGTAAATCAGTAAAGGTTGCCATTGTTTGTGAAAGATGGATTTAATTGGAAATTTATCATAACGGGGTCCAAGAGAGAATGCACCATCTTTCTTGAAGGAAGATGAATCTAATTAAAAGATCTAATTAAATCCAACTAGTAGTTTCCTCTGTCCCTCAATCATCAAATATATATATTTTCCTTAAATGTTCTCTGGTTACTAAATATTTCATATTTGGTCTGAAAGCCTGCAATATATATGCCCACACAAGCTACCTGCAATCTAGAATTTCTCATAGAAGCCAACTCTGACACAAACAAAAATGTCGCCACCATAAAATACACTTGACACAATCTTTCCTCAACCAGACTCACCTAACACAATTTTCCCAACCTCCCTCTCTCATCACAGAACAATCTTTCCTCAACCAGGCTCACCTAACACAATTTTCCCAACCTACCTCTCTCATCACAAAACAATGCACACAATCTTTCCTCAACCAGTCATATCTAACACAATCTCTCCCACCTACCTCTCTTGTTCCTCTTTGGTGGTATAGGGGGCGTCTAGCTCAGGACTGGTGTACTGTGCAGTGCTCTTGGACTTGTACATGAAGTGCCTGAGATCTGCTATCCCCACCTGTGATATACTGTATGACGTCCTGGCAAGAGCCTCGGTTATAGCAGTCAGGCAATTGTATCTGTTTAACCTCTGGAGAGCAAAGTTAGTAATGAGTTGATCACTTAAATGTTCCAGTCATTGAATAGAATTATGATAATAAACACAGAAGGTAAGGTATTGACTTTACTAACTGCATAGTGCATGATTACACTCTATATTGTAACGTAGTCACTGTCAAAGGCTATCAGTCCAGGTGAGAAATAACATTTTATCTTGAAATAAATTGTAAAAAATGGTCTGCTTTTACTGTTGGTCAGAATAACCATCTTGAGTCTAGTTACTGCTGACTCTGAAAGCTAACTGTGGGTTTGTGACTTAGTGTTAAAAACTGATTTGAATGTTGCCTATCCTCTGACCGATGAAGACTAAAATATTTTCAAAATTTACACCTACATAGTGCTAGTATTTACACTATGAAGGGATAAAGAATTCTTTTCTAAAATCTTAAATTTCTGAAACCCTGGCTTTGCCCATCCTTGAACAAGAAAAGGCGAAAAGTCTGTTTCTAGAATTTGATTTTCTTTGACGTTACCTGCATTTTTCTTGCCCTTTGTCACTCCAACAATACTTACATCCACTATTTTCTGCCTGCACTCAGATAGGGTAAAGAACATGTCCCTGTCAACAGTGAGAAGGAGCAGACATGTCTGACATCCAGGGTCCAGATAGGAGACATAGGCATGAAGAAACCCACTGAAATGGGAAAGCATAGTCTTAACATAGTACATTGTACATGGGCACCTTTCACAGTATGCTGATTATATTCAACAATATCATAAAACAATGTTTTCAAAATATTTTCTAGAATCTATTTATTTTTGCTGTACTACTTCTAATCACAACTGATAAAATACAAAAAGTTAACATCTGTTGTCAGATTTTAGAAAACAATATGATGTCTTGTATAATGATAGACTTTACAGGTATAAGAAAGGAATACTACATCAAATTTGACAAATCATAGGCGTTTTTACAAACATTAAGCTGGTAATATAAATTCTGGCAAATTTTAATTTAATAATACTAAAATGTTCATTCGATCTATATCCAAAATATTTCTCACCTTGCATCAAATTTTGGCAGACATATTGGTGTCCATGACTCAGCAGCTTTGAAACTCTCCGAGGCATTGACTAGATTGATGATGAGGTGAAGATCTGATGGATGCAGGAAATATTTCTTCATCCTCACCAGAGTAATGAGCTGGTTATTTGCCAGTAGAATGGCAAACACCAAATCCTGGAGAGAAAATATGCTATAGTGAAACACCTTCTACACAAATTGAAATGAGACGGACCAACAATGCCCAATATTCTGAAATATTACACCTACTTTACATCAATATCTTTGTGAACAGACAATTATCGTAATTAATATCATAAAGTTATAATTGGGGTGGGTGGAGAGGCAGTCATGGGAGTTAAAAGCTTGATAAATTATTTTTCAAACTTCAAAACCTTTTACATCACGTAATTTCAAAAAGAGAAAACCAAGTTAGTAGTAGTAGTAGTAGTAGTAGTAGTAGTAGTAGTAGTAGTAGGAAATTCATCTGCATGTTACTCAAATATTTTACAATTGATATTTATGCCAAATATATATTCTTACAAAATTATCTTAGTATATGTGACTATAAATTTTTTTTCCTATGTCCACTTACCTTTACATTAGCATTCTGTACAATACTCTGAGCTATATTCTCTCTTGTAGAGCTGGGTAAGGGCAGACATCTCACAGCTCCCAGCAAAAAACTCGGCTCATGGTCCATCAAGTGCAATAAATTATCTATAAACTTCTCCGACCCCGTTAAAAGCCTCCTTAGATCATAGTTCCGTCTCTGTTTGAATATCTTGTTCAATTGTGTATATGTCAACACACTAATGATCTGATTGTATACATAAGTTAATTGGAATAAAAGTTGATGGTATGAGTCTTCAGTCTTTGCTACTGCCACTAAGTTCAGGTTCTCCCTGTTAAGGAATACAAACTTATGTTTCCCTGCAACAAGGCAGCGTAAACTGTCATTACCGTCCTGCAGGAAGGACACTAAAGCCTGCATCACACCCATGATGGTGACCAACTTGTCTTCTTTCCCATACCTAGAACAGATGAACAATAACATATTTATATGTAAATACATATCAACTTGTGACTCTACACACAACTGTTTTATTATACCTGGACAGGAATTGATATTTGGCTGATAGCCAGTACCTAGCTTTTCTTCTTCTTTTTTCTTTTTTTTTTTTTTTTTTTTATTGCAGATGCTACATCTTTTTTCTTGTTTTCTTCTTTTACTAGTATAACAAAGTCATGAAAAAAAAAACAAAACAAACAGCCAATAAGTCAGAAATACATGTATTTAGATGGCTTTGCTAAGTGACTTGCTAAGTATATGACCTGGGCACCTGTTACAGATCATGACAAATTGCCAAAATTACTCTACTCTACCAGTACCTTGAGTAAATAGGTTTCCCTGCCTCACTAAGAACAAATATATGTTTTCTTTGACTCCTCCAGGCCTCTGTTTGCACATTCTCCTCGGAGTCACTCTCTATCACAGTTAAACCTGATGCGGATGGACCACTAGATACTGCTGCAGTTTGCCCTCCTTCCTTTTCATCTTCCTTGCTGGCTGTTGTCTCATCAGAAGACGTAAGGGACAAATCTTCATCGTCTGTCACTTGTAACTCATTGAGTTTGTCTTTAAGTTCTCCATCTTTTTCTCTTTCCTAAATGACAGTAGAATCCAAAATCATTAATTTATTAAGTAACCCCAGTTATATATATTTCTTATATGTAAAGTATTACCAACAACACTGTCCACCCTATCACCCTCCTAAAATGATAGTATTGATATAATAATTTGATAAACCATTATTGCTCTGTTGTTTCTCATCACTTTATGATTCAAGTTTCTCTCTTACCTCCCTGAATTGATATACTGGAGTATCTATCCAATCATTATGATTAATAATGTCTATTATGATCACAAAATATGATCCTCACAGACTGGTCAAAAGCAGTCATGTGCTGGTCAATATCAGACTATACTGACTTCACAACCAGTCAATATCGGGCAGGAATCAGGAGATATAATCTTTTTTTTTTTTTTTCAAAAAGACTCAATGGCTGGGATTTGAACCCACAACCCCTCATTTATAACCTGGTACTTTAGATATTACTAAAGCATTGCTTTTAAAGCCCCATAAAAAATATTTGCGATACATGTACATATCAAACTAACTGTATAAGGCAGTCTTTATGGGACTATGTAGGTTAATTTACCGGATTGATAAGCAATCAACGTGACAGCCAAGCGTGGGATATTGAGCCTGAAGGGAAGGTGTAACGTGACAGAGATTTCCCCATGATAGAGTCCGCTTCCCATTCATTTGTACAGGTAAGCCTCGTCCTAGATATTGACCCACTTAGGTCAGGTTAACCCTAACCGGTGGACTAAAATTACTAGAAAAAAATTATATAACTAAATGGAGGGCGGGCTCTCTATTACACGGACCCTCAGTTTCGTTACACCGGGCAAACTGTTACGACTCAATATCAGACAATGCAGGCTGACTCGTACACTGATAGATGTAGAAAATATTTTGTAGATGATCAAATACCACCTAAAGCCGGTCGATAAAATCTTTAGGAATCATAAAAAAGATAAAAGATGCTACCTGTTTTTCACCTGCCAGCTCGGGTTTGGAGCGGTTCGTTATTTCACTAATTGTCCCACTCGAGTGTCTTGGGCGGCGAATTTCGTGTAAACTCCCCTGCCATCCTTGGGTAAGATCCGCGTAAGAGTCAGTGGGAGCAAGGATCACAGTTCCTCCCGCTCCTGGTTCAGGAACATCGGAGTCATAGGACGGAGTCTGCGACCGATCACTTCCCCCTCCGTCCATGTTGGTTAAGCACAGATCGATAGGGGGCGTGATGAGCAAGACGAGCCTTTATGATAAGGTAAAAAGGAGAAAGACGCGTACAATGTAGTTATTTTGGTCTTTATTTATTCATTTAACTTATGTTAAAAGAGTTGATGTAAGGTATGTTGGAAAAAGGCCATGGCATTTTTTTTTTCATATATGTTGGCATCAAATTCTTGGGACAAAACGTTATGTCTTCATTTTACACTGACGTTAACTTAAAACGCTTTATTTAATGTTAATGGACAAATGATAGCAAACCTGTCTCAATTGTTTTCACGTACGCGGAATTTATCAGGTTTTTTGGAGTCTTTTATGTGATTACGTACATGTATATCGGCAATTTTCAGTTGCTCAGCACATGGGAATATTTCGTATATTTCCATGCTTATACATAATTAGTACGTAGGCCTACTATAGGCCTATACATTCATGTAGCCACCATCACCTTGATTGGTTAGTAGGGGACACACGCGAACGCACGCACGCACGCACGCACACACACACACACACACACACAGGGGTATACATTTAGCGGTCAACAAAAAATCGAATATTATATCACTTTAGTAGGCTTGTACATGTATATGGCCTTTTATAGCCATCTTTTGTCACACGACGCTTGTAAAAACTGCTTCGTTTGCGTAATTTATTGCAGTTTTTGCATCTACAGTCGAATTGTTCAAGAGGACGAGTTCTATTTAGGCAATTATGTAAGGATAAGCTATAAGGAGGGGTACTGTATATAAAAATTTAATTAAGATTAAGCTTATAAAGTAGGCCCTATCACTAGTTTTTTTGTAACAGTGTCATATTTTTTCATCATTTACATGTATTCGCTGTCGCCATGACAGTTGCGCAAAAATGTTTAATGATATGCTTTGACATGCTGTGCTCTGTGTTTTCCATATGTTATGTATATCCAACTACCGCTTCTGTCCATTGTTTATAAGGCACTAAAAGTTTCTTCTCTCACTTCCTCTCAACTTTTTTTTCTCTTTTGTATCTTCGTTAATTTCCTTGTATTTGGAACAGCGAACGTTTCTTGCGCTGAATCTGTTCTGAAATATTAAACAGATTTTATGTATTTGTGACTTTATTTGTGGGATATACATGCAAAATATATATTTATGCAGCAAAACCTTACCCTTATCATTTCACTTATGTATGTATGGGTTTAATCAGTCTTTACTTCAAATAATTTAACTGAAGCTAGTATAAAAAATTAATGAATAGGTAAATGTATTTATTAATAAACAAACAAGTTTACTAAGAGAATGGAGCTAAGAGTAATTACATGAATTGGTGTTTTGCCCGGTCGAACAGCTCCGTATGCGTCCATGTAATTTTTAGAGAACATTTAAAGGGGTGAAGCGTGTTCCCAGTGCCACCCAGCTGTGTCACCCTTCGAGTGAGAGTTTTAACTTATCAGGCCCGTAGCCAGGGGGGGTTCGGGGGGTTCGAAAGAACTGCCCCTTTTGCTGGGAAAAGGTCCACTCTGGGTAAAATTTGATCTAGGTACATTAAGTTTTTATGGGAAAAGGTCCACTTTTTCAGAAAAAGAACCCCCCATTTGAAATTGCTGGCTACGGGCCTGACTTATATTATTCAGAATCGTACCACACTTACCTTCACTTTCATCTCCGCCACCAGCGGTACAACCGCAGGGATCTGAAGTACAGCGACAGGTGTTCCCCCTACATGTCTGTGTATTAGAACAGCAGTGACATATGGCCGCCTTATTCTCTGAAGAGTAATTACAACAAAACGGGTCAATCATCTGTATTAACTTATTTCAAAGACTATAAACAAAAACGCACAAACGTAACAAAGTGGCAAAGGATAAATTATCCGAAGGGCTTACCTTCAATGAAAACAGAGAGCACCAAAAATGTTATGCAAAGATAAATTAAAGTTTTCATCGTGACAAAATTAAAAGTACGAATAAAGTGATGTGCATAGTTTGGACATTTTATAGCCAACGTCTAAGAGAGCGACAGACAGTACACTGTCGGTCAAAATTATTGTCACACATTAGGAAAGTTATTTATTTTGTTACAAACGCCTTTTTTTAGTGCACTGCTGTATCAGTGAAACAGAAAGCGCCTTATATATGAACAGAACGGTTCCCAGCGACCCCTATCTCTTTGGGTACATTTTTCGATATATACGTGTTCTCCAGTAATAAAGTACATGTACGTCCTCAGTCTTCTGTTAGAGGTTTAAGGTATCCGTCGCGGATTTTGTCTCGGCTACAGATAGAAGAGCTCGGTTAGACTGCTGCTTGGGGCTTCTTTTTGTCAAACAGCGTTCGGTGGAGCTTCTCTGGGGATCCCCCCCCCCCAACCCCCGATATTTAGCTAGAAGTTTCCATCGGACAGGCACTTCACTGCCGGTGGCAGCTCTCATCGTGAGTGTTCTAATCACATTTCGTTTTGAAAACCTATGCTGACAACGTCTGGCTAATTCGTTTTTTAATCAATGCATGTACACACATATACACGCATATGTTGGTTCCTGACACCAAAGTCAGTCAGAAATGGTATAGCTTTGCACAGCTATGCTTTGGTGAGGGTCATCTCATCCACTTCAATAAACTGCTTTATATCAAAACAAAAACGTTTTATTGATAAACTATCAACACCTTTTTGCACATTTAATTTGTACCCCTAGCACACTTTCATTTATTTATTTTCTATTTATGGGGGGGGGGGGGTATCCTTGATATGTGCTCATATTTTACTCATGTAATATTGAACGCCCTTTGAGAATTGTGTGGTACAGTAGAAAGCGTTCACAAGAGTGTGACAAACATTTTGACCAACAGTGTATATCACTACATACACATCAAGTATTTTTAAAAACACACCTCATTAAGCGTTGCTGTTGGTGATCTGTTGGCATTTCCATTTTCAGTCGTTATTTTAGTAGATTGAAAACATTTTTGCCATAGGTTAACATACTTCCAATAATAATTGAAACAAGAGCAGCCAATGGTGAAACATAGCACCAAGCCATGATACGTTGGTACGTGCACCTTGGCACGTGGTCCCTATACTAGTGCATGCACATGCTTCTACTGTTCACATATGTTTCAAGCCATCTTATGCCAAAATATATCGTGGGGGGATGTGCGTGTGTGTATGTGGATGCGTTTTCGACGGATGTGTCGTTTGATCTGTCTTCGTTTGCAACGTGCGTGTGTGCGTGTGATGGTATAGAATAAACTTTTAATACATAAACGCACAACAACATGGGCTTTCACCTAACGTAATAGCATTTCCAATGTGCATGTGTCAGATGAAAAAAATCGTAAATTAATGAACGTCATGGACGCACATACAATGTACATGTATGGGAGAGGTAGGATCAACTGACTCTTAAGTACATGGCTGCCAGTGGGCAATTTTTTTTAAAAAAGTAGATTCGTTATTTTTACTTACAAAGAAGCGTAAATGCATGGATACATTTGCAGTACCAGTAGATACATTTACAAAGCTTAGGAACTCGTACCCGATTCAAAATTAATAAAAAAAAGACATGAAATCTAACAGAAAAAATTAATTGACCAAATGTTAGGATTCGTAAAATAGAAAATGTTTAGTTTATTTTATTTAAACTATCGCCTTTGCTTATTCCTGACGTTTGAATTATTATCATAAAACTCGAAACTTCTTGACCACATGTTTTTGCTTTTCCACTTTAGTAGATTTGATCGTAGTGATTTGATGTTACTAACTACTGTAGTTTCATAATGTTGTTCTGATGATGAGGACAGGTGCTGGTCAAATTTAAAAAAATTAATTCATTTATTACATTTTGTAAACCATCTTTTAATTGAGATAAAGTAGTCACTGTACGTGAACTTGTGAACGTGGGAAACTGCTGTTCCTCAGGTTTACAAAGGAAAAGTGTTCCTTAATTTTGATTATAATATAATAATAATATATCTATTTTAAGTCTAAATTCCATATAGATATGTTCAGTAGACTTTACATTTATGTACATTACACATATATAACAAATAGTTAGACACCTGATCATTACAATCTGTGTAAGCGATCTCGCCTCCCTGGGGAAGCTTTTTACATTTATAGGTAAATCGAATCTAGAGTTCAAAAGCGCAGGCTACGTTAGCTTTACTAGTGACTACAACGGATACTTCTGGCTGCACTAAGGGACACGTTTGATTTGATGCTGGTATATAGCCCGCCTTCAGACTTCCATCTGCTGCTGTTGAAATATACAGTACATTACTTTGGGGATGAAACTCTACTGTAATATCAAATTCGTTATTTTTTAATTTACTAAACAGATAAGGTGAAAAGCAAAATAAAGAAGTAGGCGTATAAGCAACTTTTTTTTAATTCTCTGTGTAAGGTACCGTGCGGACACCGAGAGAACATAAAAATAAGGCACATCTGCGCAAGCCGTGTAAGCATGACCGAAAGTTTATGAGCCGTGGTACCTGAATAATCATTTACAACACTCGTCACTAAAGTACATGCATACCTGGCGTCCACTCTCGCTTCGCACGCACTGGTAGCCAGCGTTTCCTGTTACTGGAAGCATGTTAACTTCTGACATAAGTGTTTTTCAAACTTCTAAAATAACTTAATGTCAGTTGATCAACTGCAACTTTGAAGCATGCTACGAACAATGCTGGTCAAAATGTTTGTCACTCTCCCGAGAATTCTTTCTTACACATACATGTATAGCAGTATTTAATGGTCGCATTATACATTGTATCGCATGGGTTAAATATGAGCACCTATCAACCGACAGCAGCTCAAAAATAAATGTAGAAAAAAGTGAGAGAATATATAGTGGCTAGAATGTATAAACGTATATTTTTGGTATAGAGCAGTTTGTTGGGGTAAGTGAAAATGGACCTCCACCAAACCATAGATGAATCTATACCAATTGTGACTTCATGACACTCAGCGATTGCCAGACGTGCGTTGGCATGACATGATAACGAACTGC